TTAAACCCTAAACCCTACCGTCGAGGTCCACAGGAATGAGCACAGTCGAGCCCCTGAGGACTTCTGTGGCTGCGCGCAGCAGCAGCTGCCGCAGCTGCTGCTGCGGCTGCCCTGCTGCTGCTGCTGCTGCTGCTGTTGCTGCTGGGCAAGAAGCCACAAGAACGTTGAAGCGCCGCAGGCGGGTCCCCAGCCAAGGAGAAGGCGGTGCTGCTGCTGCTGCTGCTGCTGCTGCTGCTGCTGCTGCTGCTGCAGGGGGCCCGATCAGCGGCTGCGCCCCGCAGCTCAACGGCAGCAACTCGCCTCCGTCGACATGCCTGCAGCAGCAGCAGCAAACGCAGCAGCAGCAGATGCAGCAGCAGCAGCAGCAGATGCAGCAGCAGCAGCAGAGCTGCTCAGCACTGCAGCAGCAGCGAGAAGCACACAACAACGCCCGAAGCAGCCCCGCAAGCAGCAGGAACGCCAGCAGCACAAACATCGCCCGCACCCGCAGCAGCAGCACAAGCAGCAGCAGCAGCAGCAGCAACAGCAGCAGCAGCAGCAGCAGCAGCAGCAGGTACCAGAGTGCAGAGACTGCATGTCCAACAGCAACAGCAACTCTTAAGCCATCACTTTCCAGCAGCCAAACAGCTCCGCCCAAATTGAGCCCCGCGCGGATGCACTGTACATACACCCCAGACTCCTGCTGCTGCTGCTGCTGCTGCTGCTGCTGCTGCGAAGAGCAGCAGCAGCAAGTTCCAGGGGAGGCCGGCGCTTGGGGCTCCGAGTCAGTCTCCATGCGGCCTTCGCCATTGCTGCTGCTGCTTGTGCTGCTGCTGCTGCCGTTGCTGCTGCTGCTGCCGTTGCTGCTGCTGCTGCTGCTGCTGCTGTTGCTGCTGCTGCTGCAGCAGGAGCAGCGCCGCCTCCGTCTCTTCAAGGGCACTGTCTGGTGGTAGTTTATGGGGCTGCATGCAGCAAAAGCAGCAGCAACATCTGCTGCAGTGAAGGGGAGGCCGCTGGACTGCAGTCCCTCGGTGGCTGCTGCTGCGCTGCTGCGTGCAGCAGCAGCAGCAGCAGCTGCTGCTGCCTTCGGCGCAGCAGCAGCAGCAGCAGAACTGTTGCGAATGGAGTAACAGTCTGTTGCTGCCAGCAGCGCCGCCTCTGTTGCAGCTTTGCCCAGGAGCTGCGCTGCACTCGTGCAGAAAACAGCAGGCGGGTCCCAGTCCCCTGCTGCTGCTGCTGCTGCTTCTGCTGCTGCTGCTGCTGCTGCTGCTGCGGGGGCCTCGGGGCTGCGCCACTGCAGCCGGTGCAGCAGCGGCAGCGCCCCACAATAAGCCACAGAGCCGTGGCTCAGCAGCACCGCGTCCACCTCCCCCAGCTGTCTGTACACCCCAGCAGCAGCAGCAGCAGCAGCAGCAGCAGCAGAAGCAGGAGGTTGGCAACATAAGCGGCAGTAGGTGGGCAGCAGCAGCAGCAGCAGCAGTAAGTTGGCAGCAGTAGGAGCAGTCGGCTCGCAGCAGCAGCAGCAGCAGCAGCAGGTTGGCAGCAGCAGCAGCAGCAGGTTGGCAGCAGCAACAGCAGCAGGTTGGCAGCAGCAGCAGCAGCAGCTGAGGTGGTGTGCAGCATTTAGGTGGGGGTGTAGGGTTTAGTCTTCAGGCCGAGGGGTTAGGGTTTGCGTGCAAGGGTTTAGGGTCTGGGACTGAAGTTCAGGGTTTAGGGTTTAGGGTTTAGGGTTTAGGGTTTAGACCCTCGCATCTCCGCAGCTAATCTGAAGCCCGAGGCTAGAGAAAAGAACGCGGGCTGAGGGCGCAAAACCGCGATCTAGGGTTTAGGGTTTAGGGTTTAGGGTTTAGGGTTTAGGGTTTAGGGTTTGGGACCTGAGGAGGGGCGCGAGGGGGGTAGGGTCTAGGGTGTCGGAAATGCCGCAGTTGACCAGCAGCAAAAGTTCATTGAAGCGAATAAGAGTGCAGCAGCAACTTCCGGAGTAGAGGTTTTCCACCTGCAGCGTCTCCATCCTAAACCCTAAACCCTAAACCCTAAACCCTAAACCCTAAACCCTCAGCCCTGGGCCCGGGTCCGCGCCCGCGGAGCTGCTGCGCTGCCGCTGCGGAGGCAGCAGCAGTTTAGGGTTTAGGGTTTAGGGTTAGGGTTTGCGAGTGCGGCGGGGCTGCCGGCGCGCCTGCTGCCCCTGGCTGCTCAATGGCCTCATTAAATGAATTAAAAAAGAATAAAACCCTAAAAATAAACTTTTAATTTATTTATTTCATCTTTTAAAGGGTTTTCTGCAACAAATGGGGCTGCATGCTCAGTGGGGCTCGCCGCATGCAGGCGTTTGCGGTGTACGTACACCCCAGCTCTTTGTGCGAAAAGACACCCCTTTCTATTTTTTCCCCTTTTTAGGATTAAATTAATTATTAAATTAATTTTAAATCATTTTAAAGTTTCTTTTTGATATAAATAAGTCGGAAAACGGCGCAAAAAGCCCCAAATTGTCTTTCAAAACCTTTCTCGCCAGAGCACTGCC